GGACATGTAGGGGGGACGTATGGGGGGACGTATAGGGGGTGTATGTGTGGAGAGGGGTACAGATGGGTGCAGGCACTTATGGGGGGTACATAGGGAGGTACATATGGGGAGACGTCTATACGGGAGGCGCGTACGGGGGTATATATGGCCATGAATGTATAGGGGGGTATATGAGGATGTATACGTGCCAGCGTATATATGAACATATATAAGAAGACCCCATGGAGGTATATACAGGTAGAGGTACGTGTTCGGTTATATATAGGATTATATATGAGAAACATACGCAAGGAGCGGTAAATATGAGGGGTTACGTATGGTGCGTATATACAGGGAACCGTCTGTACGGAGGCTCTACGGAGTGCCGTATATAAGAAGAACTATATAGTTGAAGATCTATACGTGGAGCTACAGACAGAGCATTATAACAAGATGAGTACGTGCAGCCGTGAGCATGCGTATAGTTATATAGGGGACTGTACAGAGGAACAAGCGTATATGAACAGCGATACATAGGGGGTTATATACGAAGCTATACGTAGGGAGACGTGTATATGGGGAGGGGTACGTGTGAGGGGTATCCGTGGCGGGTATGTACAGGGAGGGGTATGTATGAGGGGTATACATGGGGGGCATATACAGGGAGGGGTATACATGGAGGCTCTATGGAACAGTATATATGGAGAAGAGCATATATGGGGTTATATATGGGGCTATATGCGGGAAATTATATATATAGGGGTATGTATAAGGATGTATATGGGGGATATATACATGGAGGGGTACGTAAGGAGGCTCTATGGAGCAGTAAATATGGAGAAGAGCGTATATGGGGTTATATATGGGGCTACATGTGGGAGAAAATATATATAGGGGTATATATGGGGGTATCTATGGGGGATATATACAGGGAGAGGCATACGTGGAGGCTTTATAGAACAGTATATATAGAGAAGACTATATGGGCTTATATATGGAGCTTTATGGGGGAAGCGATATATATAGGGGCATCTATGGGGGTATCTATGGGGCATATATACAGGGAGGGGTATGTAAGGAGGCTCTATGCAGCAATATATATGAAAAAGGGTATAGATGGGGAGGGGTATAGATGGGGGGGACATGAAGGGGTAGAGATGGGGGTATATGAAGGGGTATGGATGGGGGGACCTATATGGGGGGAAGGGTGGGGGGGGGCGT